GGCAAACACACACTTATTTGATCCAATATCCTTTCTTTCACATTCCAAGCAATAATTAGTAATATGACTAGTTTGTAGGACATCTGCAATGTCTCAGGTAGCAAGGAAAGCAGGTGCAGTTCGCTAATTACATTCCTCGCACTCAGTAGAAAACAGCCTTACAAATCTTGAAATAATACACACAGTTCCATTACATATTTACACATACACATAGATTTTGGAATTAAATTCCTAATAGCACAACATTGGACATCTCATAGAAGCCAAAATGTACCCGAGAAGATAAAATGAGAACTAAGGGATTCATTTGCCAGCTATCACCTTGAATTCATCCTTGGGCCAAATTGTGGGATGGTGTAAATTAGCATAGCTCTGTTGAAACCAAGCCAAAGCCTTATCTGTGTTCTAAGATTGGGATCTCCAAGGCTTTAGAGCAGAAGCCACATTACAGATGGAGGGCTTGCCTTTAGAAAATGCCTGTTAGTCTGAAATTCACTTGGGACAGTGGAGCAGGAGAAAGGAAAGGAGGGGGCATTTCTAGCAAAAGGGATCAGCTGTTAGGCTCCAAGGAACAAATAGCTAGCAGCAACAATGAAAATGGAATGAGCAAGGAGGCATCAGATACCCACCCCGTCTTTCCAACATGTGACAGATAGAAACAGGTTAGCCTGCAGCACCACAAAGACTGCTGACAGGATAAAGATGGCAGGAGCTGCGGAAAGATCACAGAGATCAACAACAAAGGGCCTAAGCAGATTCAGACCTCGTGGGCAGAGAACTCTGCAAAGAGAGGGGGGTGAGATTCTGCACTTTGGGGTAGGGTGGGGGCCCAAAGGGCCTCTGAACATCGAAATGTGTGCTTTGCAAAAAACAACAACAAAAAACACTATTTGAGGACCCTTTTGTACAGGATCATGAGCTGCATCAGCCAAAGAAGGCTGTTGGGGGCGGGGGTTGTGCTTGAAGGCAGGAGGCAATAATAAGAAGAGTAAGCCTTGCTTTCTCTTCATGTTGGGGAATGGGGTCTTGTGTCATCTTTAAGACTGTTGATGGAGTGGGCTGTACCCTAGGCCCAGCATGCTCCTGCTACAACACCTTTGGTGAACATGATTGCACAGAGGGGCAGGAAACTGGAGGAGAACTGGGAGGACAAATGAAGATTAGTAAAGTGCACTTGTGTGTGCCTCAAATTGGGACAAAATGGTTGTGCCCCTAAGGCTGCTGGGATGTGCTGTCTTTCTATAATGGAAAGCCTTTTTACTCTGCCTTGGCAGGGTGTGAGATGCAAAAAAGCGAACATAGTACTCAGAGTAATAGTGTTGCTGCCCCCTGAGAAATTCCTACATCCTTGTAGTAAATGTGTGTTGCCTCTCCTCTGCTCCTTTCCCCTTAGACTGGGCACTCTCCCCTTAAGTGTGCATTCTGTAGTATCCACTGTATTTCTGAATCCAGTGGTCCTCTGCCTCCTGCTTAGAGGCCATTTTTCTTACAGGCTGCACATTTGGGGTGGAAAGGAACCCAGGATGCCCCCATTGGTATGGTGCTGTGAAAACGACAAGCTGTTTGAATCTGAAAGGTGCACAGCAAACAAACAAATGCCTTAGCTCATAATTTGGCTTCACCTGCATAGTAACATAAATACTAGTGATGGGTCCAAAACTGCAAACTTCAGATCCAGATCAGAATTCAACACAAGTCCCAAGGGGGGGATTTGGTTTCACTAACTTGAGAAAAGGGAGAAGGGAGATCAGTGAATTCCTCCTCCAAGTTGGAGAATGGAGAGAGTCACATTTCAGTCAATTTAACCTTGTCAAAGCAGCTGGATCTGTTGTGAGATTTGGGCCCTTCTCTAGTGTATTGCAAACTCCAGAAAGACTGGAGATTTCAGCAGTAAATCCAGTAGCTCATCCATGAATGATTTGATTACAAAGCATGACCTTTCTTGAAAAAGATCCTCCTATGTATTTCACTTTTCTTCTCTGGGTTTTATGCACAAATATGCCCATATTTACACACCCTCATGCTGCATGCTCTTAAGACCATTCTAGGTATAGCACTGAGTTATGGAGGTTACAGAAAACAATGCAGAAGATAACTGCTGAGATATGTTCCGCTATATACATTTTCTCAGAGCTGTTATGATTTTATGCAAGTTGAACATTTCATCATCCACCTGCTATTAGCAGGCATGCTATTTTCTTTCTCTTTCTCTCTCTCGGCTGTTTTTACATTTTTATATAGTTTATGTATTTATTTTTAGTGATCTGAACATCTTGCATGTTAGAAACTTCTGTGTTTTAAATTCCAACTCCACTACTGACAATTTCCTTTTTTTTCTTTTTTTACATGACTTTAGGAACATTATTCTATCTCCTCTGGTCATTTCTAAAGTTTAAAAGTGGTTATTAAGAGCTTACTCTGACGATTACTGAATGTGAACCCTCATTGCTCTGAAAGCTCTCATTCAAAGGCAAGAGTACAATATCCAGGCCATGTGTTGTGTCCATCATTCATCATTATGCACATCGCAGGCAATATCAAATGACACTTTCACACCTGAATTCCAAACCCACAACTGTAATGGATGCATTATCTGTAGAGTATTTTTCCAGGTTCAAAAGATAACAAATTAACTGCTGGGGAAATGAAATATTTCTAAGTTCAGTCTGGGGGAATGAAGGAATATCTGAACTATACACACCATTTGGGTAATAATTGCACATTTGCTGCACTGGAAACAGATTGTCTTGGAAGGAGCTGTGTGTTGCAGTTTTAGAAAACCCATGTGCAACTCTGGGGTTCTACCCAACTGAAATCCACTGTTGGTTTGCCCAACTGAAATCAATGGACAGTACTAACTAGATTCATTAGTTACACTCTAAGCATAGCATAACTGGATACCGCCCCTTGTTTTTAATTATTTTACTGTCCTGCCTTATCATTCCCTCTTTTTCTAGTGCTCTAAGTGCAGTTGTTTATATAGGCAAAACAGTACCGCCAGCCTACAAAAGGGAGGTGTCAGGTCAACAGACTTGGGGGAACTCTGAAATTTGCAGAACTACCAAAAAAAAGCCTATATAAAAACTAAGAGGAAACCCGCACACACACCACCAAAAAAGGGGGGACCGTAGCTCAAAGAGGACTGAGCATGCTCAATGTCCCCCAAATACTGACAGATTATTGGAAGGATGGGGAAATGGTTGAGAGGCAAATGGGATGAGGTGTCCTGGAAAAGGGCATGGGTGGCTAGAGCAGTGAACAGGAACACTCGCCGCAACATTTTCTTACTGATCTACCTTATTCTCATCTCATACTGCTACATGCATAAACCAGCCTTTAGAGACCCTGAAGGAAGGAACAAAAGTATTCAAGGCATCAACATGTGCACTGGCTGAGTCAAAATAATTTACTGAGGATTCAGGTCAAATGCTAACATTTTTGTGTTGCTATCAAGAAAGCCACACATAGAGGACTTTATATGATCTGCAGTAAACCATGGCTCAGTTCTGGATCTGTTTCTAAAAGCTCAGCAGTGAAATGTGAAGAATGAAGAGTGCCTCTGAGCATATGCTGAGCCCCTGCTTTCACCACTGATCTACATCTGCCAGACATCTTGGATTGGGGGCAGGGAAAGCAATTCACAAGCAGGGAATCAGATGGACACAGAGAGCTTCTTGCTGCAGATCCAAAAGCAGTCTCATACTTCCTGGACTGTGGAATAACAATGACTAAACTATGCTTCATTCAACAACCAACTCCTCTTTTACTCCTGCATTTAAACCCACTCTCTTCACATCTCATCCATCTATTCCTGCCTCAGCTGTCATTTAGGAACCTGAGTAATATACAGAAGACTACATTTTCCAAATTAAAGAGACAATCAACCCATTGGGCTCTAATGGAAGTTAGGAATGCTGGTTTAACAAATCCAGTTTTCACATTCACAGTTTACATCACCTTTGTAACCTGCCCAAGACTTTCTGGGCTGATGTCCTCCTCTATTTTGTATAAGATCAACCCTACTTACTAGCCTTTGAAGGACACTCAGTTGCCACCCCAATAGCCCAGACTGCTTTCCTGTGCTTTACTAACTAATTCAAATTAGTGGCAGATTCACACTGTATATTTAAAGTGCATGATTTCTTCCAAACAACCCTGGGAGTCCTAGTTTCCCCAGAGCTACCATTCCCAGGATTCATTGGGGAAAGCCATGTGCTTTAAATGTATGTTAAATGTGCTTTGTTAAACGTGTGTGGTGTGGATCTGCCCTAGTTGAGGCAAGAGGCTATGCCCCTGGGGTATTGCTTCATGCTTATCTAGGTAGAAGTGTGTCCTTGACCCTGAATAACCTCACCCAAAGTTATGTAAAGAAGTACCTGCTGAAGTTTAATTGGACTGCAGTCTGGACACCGCATAGGCAAACCTCACGACAGAAGCCCAGCCTTAAACCTGCAGATCCTGCCATCCTTATTCCAGCATTCATCATGACACTCCCGTCTTACCATCTGCTCCTTCCCACCTGCTGTGGTCTGCAGTTTCAGCTCTGCGCCATAACACTCTGCAAAGGTACGGGGCGTGAGATAGCTCTAGCTCAGTGGTTGGGTCAAGCCAATTCATAGATTAGAGGGTTGGCGTCCTGCCGCTGAGATACAGTTCAAGTTGCCTACACAGTGTCCAGGCAGCAGATATGACAGTCAAAACAATCATACATTCCATTTAAACCTGACCTTGGATGCAACAGAGCACTGCAGCCTTTAGTGTTTCTCCTGGTTATTCTTGGCTTCCTCTCTCCCTACCTCCGCAGCACATCTAAAGCTGCAATCCCAAACACACTTACTAATGAGTAAGCCCCACTGAACAGACTTCAGAGACAACTGCAGCACATTGGGGCCATCCTTCCCTCGGTCTATGGAATCAATATTCCAGCATCTCGCCATTAAGCAATAACTTAAATGAAAAACCAAATGCTTAGATTTCCTACTTCTGCTTTTTTTTCAACATTCATTGATAGAGGTCAGTCACAGTTAAGGCCCAGAAGGTAGGTTGTTTTGATTTACATCAGCCTTGGGGGTCTCCTGATAATGGGTTTGAAAAGCTACAGCAAAGGACTCACACTAACTGTCTGGGTCCAGATCCAGTGCCATAGATGATAGATAGATAGATAGATAGATAGATAGATAGATAGATAGATAGATGATAGATAGATAGATAGATAGATAGATAGATAGATAGATTAGATAGATAGATGATAGATAGATAGACTCCCAGTGTGCAGCTATTCCCCCTAGAAGCTTGACCAACCATAGTGACTTTTGTAAAGTTCCTAGATTGGCACTCTTAAATGAGCCACCAGAAAAAATACCCAGGGTCATAGTCCAGGATCTAAAGCTTCAGGTTATTGCCACTGCAGATGGGATGGATCAGGCAGCAAGATGATGAGCTATAAAGATGTGTCCAACATTTCAAACATGCTCTGCTATGGACTTTTGTGCAATAAGGAGGTACATTTCAAGATAATGTTTCATGACCTTTTAGTCCTGTTTAGAGTTTCATTCCTGGGTTTCCCCTCCCACCTCTTTCTCATAAACAACCTTTTTTTTTTTTAAGTACTGCACTTCATAAGAGGTGTAAGCTTTTATGCAACTGGCCTCAGATGAAGTCTCAGATTGCTCCTCTACCTGTATCTTAACATATGCATTGAGTTTCACTTCTGGTGCCAATTTCTTTTGATGCAGAGACCAGGCAATTTAGGATGCCCCTTCAAGGTTACTTCCCATACAGGAACCACTCCTTTTTGATACGCTGCACCTTTTGGGGCAGGGGGTGGTCAATAGGTGAGCACACAGTTGGGACTGCAAATACAATCAACTTTATATTAGGGTGAGGGCATTAAAAAGTCAAAGTCTGCAATTCCGAGAGGCAGAATGGGAAATGCATGAAAACAAGTGTGGAGTTAGATAATGTGCAAACCCAAGTACAAGAGCAGCAATTGAAAATTCACTGAAATAGTACTGGTCGGGATCCAACCTAAGATGCTGGGAAATAGCAGCAGTGAGTTCCCTCCTCAGAAGTACTAGGCTTCATCCTCGCAATTCTATCTTGAACATACTCCTAGCACGAATAACCTCAACTGCTATTGAAATCAGTAGGCTTAGCTTTGCCTCCCTTACTCTCTGATGCCCCATGGATCCTACCCCATAATTACATGAGGACGGTACCCCATGGAAGTCCCTGAAGTAACCCCCTTCCTCATGAATTTTTTTGCATAGACTGCAATGATTTCCCCCTAATGTACAGGAGTATCCTGCATGGATCTTTAACCAAGAATATTTATGATTCCTTTACAGACAGAGTTGTGGAGAGGACAGAATATTTTTAGCAGTGGCTTAAGGCAATAGGAAGGATTATTCCATCCCTGCTCACTGCAATGGAAGATATTCCAAAATTAGCCTTTTAAATTCATAGCATAGTTGGAGAGCAAGCAATTAGAGATGTGATGCCAAGCTCTTCCTTTGTCAGCATTCTACAAGAATGGTCCAAGGCACTGTGACATAGGTGGCCCTAATCCTGCAATGCAAACTCCAGCACTGCTGATGTGTGAAATAATTAGTAAGCCCCTCAAATCATAAGCCATTAGAAAACCCTGACAGCTTTCTTTTTTATACATCTTTTCAGCAGTGACTGCCAAGAAGGTTAGAGAAATTGCCTTTCTTTGGCAGGGGCAGTGCAGGGTTGGGGGAAGATCAAGAAATTGACCCACATTTTATCATGTGAATCTAATGTTTGGGGGGGGTGTTCATATTCAAAAAGTGAGAGTCAGCTGTCCTGCAACAGGTGTAGAATCATAACAAGGCCTGCATGTCGCTTATACTCTGTTTAAAGGGAGGGCAGGTGTTGTTGAGATATATTGCCCCTCTTGGCACAAGCATATGGGTTAGGGCCAATACACACAACCCAGGTGGTTCGTTAAGAATGCAGGTTAAGTGGATTGTATAGAGTTTGGCACACAATCAATAAATTAGGTGATTGCTTCAGCATGTATCCCATTCAACCTATATCATTTTCAATGCTAAGCTGTTGAAAGTGAGTTGAGTGGGGTGCAATAAGTAAATAAGCAACAGTGGATCTGCTTTACCTTGTTGCCAAATTCTGTACAGATCCAAGCAGATCACATGCTCAACACGTTCTTTTGGTCTGGTGAATTTTTGGTCCTCACAAGGCATCCACCATCCATATCAATGCAAGATCAGGACCCATAAGCAAGCTGCCTGAGTAATACTTGCAGGATCCACATGAGTGATCTGGTTGGGGATTTCAGTTTTGCTCCATTTGCTCCCTATGGCATGGGTGGGTATATATATATAGGGGACTTCTCACATAGTCTCCAAATCCTAAGCTTCTAAATATGATATAAGCACACACACTGTGTGTGTATCTGAGTGTGCTATTTCAAATAATCATACCGTGTTTAGCAGCTCAGGAAATAGGACACCCATGGTGGCCTCAGAACCAAATCCTGTTGGCTTAGAAGGGTCATCATCTTTTTTATTACTGATGAGAAGAAGGGGATATTGGCCTCACTCTTTTAAACACTGGTTCCAAAAGCCACTTTCCTAGGATAGCAGAATGAGCCTTTACTGAAGGGCTATCCTTTCCCTTGAGAGCTGAAGCAGCCGCATCAACGGGACACTGCCAAGCTAAAATGCCAGCCTATGAAGAGCAGTCCAACCAGGAGTCTTATTGCCTCCTTGACTCAAAAGAATGGATCTGATTCTGATGTGTGAGGTTGGCCAAATTCTGCTACCATATTGCCCATGGGCATTTCCCCAACAGATTAGCCCACTGGGAGTAGACTTGGATTGTATTTACTCTAAAGCTGAGGAATATTGACACCACCACATGACAGCAACATCCCAAAGGAAGCCTTAACTTCCAAGCCATTCATTGCATGTATCCATCCACAGCCATCTCCTCAGCTGGGGCAACTCCGTCAAGACTCATTTCCATGGGGCAACTTTGCCCACACCTGAACAAATGACCTTGGGCTGGCGTTATTGTATAAGCCCCATCACCACCAGACAACGCAAGTCAACAAAGTTCAGACAAAGTCATTGGCACTCTATACTGTTGCATCTTAGCTGTGGATCTCAAACTATCTACGCCTCCAAGCACTGTGAGCAATATTTGTTGTGGGTCTGAGCTTACATTTGCCTAACAGTGTCACCCAGCAATGTTTTAGTCACAAATAAGCCTGGCCATCTCTGGTCAGATGTACATCTCTGCATATGATACCACTATGAATAAATTACCAGTTCCTCCCTACATGTGGAAGACAGGTGTGTACTCTTCATATCACCTTTCCTGGGTTGCACCCTCATGCAAGCAAACACCCAGGGCATTTGCCTTGGTTATCAAATTTGTGGCCGGCCCACATCCATCCCCAACACATTCCCTTTCTCCCCCTTTTATGTCCACAAATCTCCTTCAAGCCACTGGAGAATCTAGAAACACTATAAACAGGTATACTCTATAGTCTACTTAAGAAAATAGATATATTTTTGTGTATTAAATATTAAGATCCATGCAACAAATATCCATGCAGCTTTACTGTAATACTGGGTTAAATTTCACTGCAGTATAAATATATTCTAGGCCACAGCTTAGTTGCTCCAGCATTTGAAACAAGATGCTTTTCAGTCCTGAATATGTCGGTGACCCCCAAACCAGCAAAAAATAATAATACATGTGTTCTTTAAAAAAAGAAATGTCTCCAGGCTCTTGATGTATCTCTACCAAAGCAACAGAAAATGTCCTACTAAACAGTGCCTCCCGCGAGCCTCACACTGGCTGCTGCAGTGGATGAATCCAATGCAGCATTTTTGGTTCAGAAGCATGACCCTGCATGGTATATTCTCCCTTTGGCATTTCTGATCTGGAAATCTGAACCTTAAAGTAATTTGGATGGATGTTCCATTCATTAAACTATGCATGACCTTTTGTATAATTCCTGAAGCTTGAAAGCTAGATGTATAGTTGCATACTATTTCCTTGGGATATATTTTTGCATGGGCTGAGTTCTATATTAAATTATATTTATGCTAGTTGGCATTTGTTTGTTACTGTTGTTTACATGGGGAGGTGGTTTGTTTTGTTTTTCTCCAATGCCTTTCGTTGGATATTGTGACATAATTCTGCTTTAATTGTGCCATACAATTGGAAAACCAGAAGTCTGTGATGGGGAGGAGGGGTTGCATGAAAGCTTATTGAGCATCAAATGTTTAAAAAGAGTCACTTACACAACTATTGCTTCCCATGCAGAACCAATACACGTTGTAGAACATTTTGTATTAACTACAATGCAAGGTATTATGCAACATCTGCAATTGTTCGACTCAAGTTTTAAGTAAGTTATTAGGGTTGTTTTATTATTATTATTATTATTATTATTAGCTAGACATCAGTTAGCATTTTGGTTATATTAACATAGTTTGTGTTAGCTAGGGTGCAGTTGGCTGTTTTCAAGTTCTCCTCTCTAAAGTCCTCATTGCTATTATTCACACCTTCTTGTATCTCCATATAATCAGACTTACTAATAGTGGAGGCACTTCTGCTTTTCTTTAGGTCAGGGGAAGAAGGGATCTTTGGGCAGCTGGTGACTTGCAAGTATTGAGCTTGCTCCTCTCCCTCTGTCTCACGGTGATAGAAGTAGTTGAAATTGGACACTATAACCGGCACTGGTAAGGCAATTGTTAATACACCTGCAATGGCACACAAGGAACCAACTATTTTCCCACCTATGGTCGTGGGGACCATATCTCCATAGCCAACTGTTGTCATGGAAACCACGGCCCACCAAAAAGCATCAGGGATGCTGGGAAACTGAGAATCGCTCTCGTCGGCCTCTGCAAAGTAGACAGCACTGGAGAAGAGAATGACACCAATGAAGAGGAAAAATATCAAGAGGCCCAGCTCCCTCATGCTGGCCTTCAGGGTCTGTCCGAGGATCTGCAATCCCTTGGAGTGCCTGGAGAGCTTGAAGATCCTGAAGACCCTCACCAGGCGGATCACTCGGAGGATGGCAAGAGACATTGCCTGCTGACCTTGTTGGCCATCTTCTGGTTTCTCAGCCAGTTCCGTTCCAAGTGTGATGAAGTAGGGGATGATGGCTACAATGTCAATGATGTTCATGATGTTGGTAAAAAAGCCAGCTTTGCTGGGGCAGGCGAAGAATCTCACCAAGAACTCAAAGGAGAACCAAATGATGCAGAGCGTCTCCACTATAAAGAAAGGGTCTGTGAAAGATGTTTGCTGCTGAGACCCCATAGTGCTATTGGAGTAAGAGCTTGGGTTGCTACTGCTGCCATGCATCTCATCATTCTCATCCCGGAACACAGGCAAAGTTTCCAGGCAGAAGCTAACAATTGAGATCAAAATGACCATGACAGAGACAATTGCTATAATCCTGGCTGGCCCAGAGCTTTCTGGATACTCAAACAGCAGCCACACTTGTCTCTGAAACTCATTCTCTGGTAAAGGCCGCTCTTCTTCCTTGATGTAACCTTCATCCTCCCGAAACATCTCCATAGCTTCCTCCCCAAGTTCATAAAACCTTATCTCTTCTGAGAAGATGTCTAAGGGGACATTAACAGGCCTCCTCAACCTGCCACCAGATTGGTAGTAGTACAAAATAGCATCAAAGCTGGGTCTGTTTCGGTCAAAGAAATACTCATTCCGAAGGGGATCAAAATATCTCATTCTCTTTTTAGGGTCTCCTAACAAGGTCTCTGGAAACTGAGCGAGTGTCTTGAGCTGTGTTTCAAAGCGCAGTCCCGAGATGTTGATGACCACCCTCTCGCAACATTCATGGTCAGTTTCTGGGTTGTAGGTGTCCTGAGGATGACCAGGCAAAGCTGCTGCTTCATCTGTTGGATCTCCAGTGGCAACTGTCATATTTAGGCCTCTAAGCTAAACTTTTCTGAATGTCTGCTGGTGGGATGAGGTTCAGGGGGACTCTAACACCTGCCAGAAGGGTCTGCGCGTGGGCTTGGAAGTGGCTCATGAAAACGTAGAGAGGATGTAAAGGAAGCCTGTCCAGCTGAAAGAGAGAAACAAATAGCACCATAAGCATTAGCCCCCTCTTTCTTCACAATGTATACAAAACATAAATGGGTTGCTTTAAATTTGCATCCTCAAGTGTAGTCTAAAAATACTCCCATCACCCCATGCTATGCCATTTAAGGAAGGGATAAAAGAAACAAGAATAAATGAAGGGTGCTTTCTCCCTGGCAAACATATCACACAACATAGGTGGGGGTTCTTTCTCCCCCACGGCCAACAGTCTATTCAAAGAACTTCAAAGGCTGCCTAGAGTTTGCTCCTGCATTGAAGTGTTAAGATTTGCCCATGCGGCACCTGGGACTTGAGCATTCAACTCAAGGAATACCCTGGTGACTCAGAGGTAAACATTAAGCACTCTGTTTCATCAAACAGCATCGTGCACATTTAACATGCTGCATCCCTACCTTAATCTCTTTTGACTTTTGCAGTCCAGTCTCCCTCCCTTTCCTTCCTTCCTCCCACCCCTCCTTCTCCGCTGTTTTCTAGTGTGCAAGTGCTCTTTGCTAGCTTTCCCCTGCTGCATTTCTGTGCTGAGGCTCCTCTCTTAACAATTGCCTAAGGAATAAGAGCAAGCAAAAAACAAGCCACACGTTTACCTTGATGGAGGAGAGCTCAGTGTCTCTCACACTGACTCCCTGACCTTAGAGAGAAACACAGAGGTTTCCAAGATTCTCATAAGTTCCTCAGGCAATATGGTGAGTCAAGGAAGGAAGGAAGGAAGGAAGGAAGGAAGGAAGGAAGGAAGGAAGGAAGGAAGGGGAGGGTGGTGACTGGAAAGAATTTTTGGTAGTTCTTGTAGCCCTTTGCTCAGGGCAGTGCCTGTCTGAATTGAAATCCTTCTGTATGATAGTGGAAAGATGCTATACTCAGCAAAAAACAAACAACCCCTGATGTCCCCAGTGTCCTCAAGAGGTGTGACGTTGCCTGGAAAACCAGCAGTAAGACAGTGCTGGATGGGCTTTAAAACAGCATCTGCAAAGAAGACCAGGAGGGGGATTGTTTGTTTTTGTCCAAATGCAGCCCTTCCCTCACAGAGCTGTATTGCAAGCTCTAGCTACCTTGGATGAAACAAGGAGAGCAACTGTGGTGGCATAAAAACAGAGCTATATTTCTCTCACACAGAGACACAAACACACACTCTTACACACACACACAGAGAGAGAGAGAGAGAGAGAGAGAGAGAGAGAGAGAGAGAGAGCTGTATATTGCTGAGGGTAGAAGTGGTAGTCTACACACCATTCGGCACTTGTGTCGGTCTATGCAGCCTGGCTGGCGCAGGGTCCTCTGCAGTGTGGTCTCCCTCTTGATCTTCCTCCTCTCAGCAAGAGAAACAGTGCAACACGCTCTCTGCCACGCAGAGCTCATCCAGCTGCGGCCGGGTCCACATCAAAGAAGCTCTGGACTTCATTCCGCATGCAGGACATGTCCTGGAAAGGCTTGGCCCTCCTAAGCACCTGAAGAAGACCCCATGTGGGCTCGAGGTCTCAGCCAGAAGCCCCCGCTGAGATTTCCGTGTCCTTAGCACAATGCAGCATTGCCAGCTGTCCAGCCTCTGGCTTGGTCTAAGTGGATGCCCACCTCACTGATAGCCACAGGAGACTATTCAGTTCTCTTCTCGGGATACTGCAATTTTTTTGTGGGTTTTTTGCCTTCTTGTTGCTAAGCCCAACCAAAGGATTTTTGCTCCCCAAGAGAGACTCCCTGGCATCCCATCCTCAGCAGTAGACAGCCGCCTTCCTTAACCACTCAGAGTCAGGATTCAAGAACTAAGGGAGGGGAGGCAAATGAAATACCACCTTTTAGTCTTAGTCCTTAAGACAGAGATTTTTGCATGCACCTGACCTGTTATCTTTCTTGACGCCCATCACCATCATCATCCCTTCAGGGTGTGCTTCAGATTCTCCATTCCCTGGATTTTCCCCTTGTCTCCTGTCTCCTAGCCTCCCTTCTCCTTGTGCATTAGAAAAATAGTACAACCCTGACAAAGCTTGCAGCCTTCAACTGCTATACTTAACCCCTTGCTTACCAAGGCAAAATCATAGAGGGTTATCATATGCTCCATTCTCTTCCCCCTCCCTCCCTCCCTCTGCCTCCTCCTTCTCCTTTGAATTGCTAAGAGAATCCACCCCCCTTGGGAACGGAGGGTTTTTAAGGCAATATTTCTGAATGCCAAATGGGAGGCATCGTTTACAATCAACCTGATGTGCACAAAATGGAACAAAAACAAAATCTAACCTTGGTTTTTATATTGTCTCTCCCCCCCCTCCCTGCCTCCCTCCCTAATATCACACAAATTCAAGGTGAATCATCAGCAAATGAGAGAGAGAGAGAGAAAATCTTCCAGCAGGTTAATTTTTATTTTGGCATCTTAATAGTGATGGAAATTTTCATTATACAAATGTTATAGTTTCGTCTGTGCTTATCATATTTTAAATTCCTCCTCCAGTCTAGGTGCTATTCAATATTTCAGCATCTTTGACCCGCAATTCATAGAAGGACATACATATGTTTGTTTGTACGTGCATGTGTATTCTCATGCATATAGATTTGGCTAACGAAGATGTATTGGGGTCTTTGCAGTGCATGAACCACATCAGGTAAATGCCTGCAGGGGTGCGGCGAATGGATGAAACCAATCACTGGACAGGCATGAGGCAGGCCACACACTACAGCAATGCTCAGCATAATCTCCAGAGGCAGTGAGGTGCACACACCAAGGGAAAGGCTGTGTTTGATTTACCCTTTTCATTCAAAATATGAAGCATCCATTTTCACAGTTTGTGGTAAACCTCTATTTAACTGGGGTGTGGGGGGAGGTGAGCAGCGGCTTACAATTGGTTCTGCAGTTAGGCATGCAGCGAATACATAACAAGCTTTCTGTGCTGTGGCGCCCCTCCTTACCTGCGAACAGAGGAAGCTAATTTAAAGGAGACAGAGCTTAGGAGACAAAGAGAGAAATGGAGAGAGTGAGCTTTACAATCCCTGATAACAATTCATATTAGTAAAAAAGAAAAGCTTTGGTGACTTTTCTTTGCTTTTCTGAAGCAGTGACTAATTACCATTTTAAAAAAAACTATGGACATTTGCTGCCACTACAACACATGTAATAGTTTTAGTGACCAATGAGCTTGGTAAAAGTGCAAAAATAATTGTTTCTCAGTCAGGAATTTTCCCTGGTCTGCAGTTTCTTTGCAGCAGGTCTGTATAACCTCCCTATGGGTCCATAGTATGGTCAACGACTCACACATGTGTGTTTGTCAGACCATGGCTGAGGTCGCTCCGAGCCTTGCCTTTGAAGGTGTGGATTGCCCCTGTTGGAAAAGATGGCATCTGAGATGGTGGCTGAGAGGTAATATGATGAAAGCTCTGGTTGTAGTGAATGATGCATGATGGTTATACAATTAGAAGTCATCACTTCATCTGGCAGTCATTGAGTGATTAACATGAATGCATGAATGAGTCCTTAGGCCCAACTCCAGAATTCCCAACTCTACCTATTTATTAGGCATAGGCACCTATTTTCATGTGCAATAGGTACCAGTTTATTCCTGACAATGGCACACATCCTGAAAATACATCTGTTTGCCTGACAGAAAGCCAACATTCTGGGTTTTATATCAAGACTAACAACTTGATATCAGGAGGGCTGTGGGACTCGCGTCTTGTTTGAGGCCTTCTCAAGAGGCATCTGGTTGGTCAACAATGTTGGACTAGAGAGGCCTTTGGCCTAACCCCGCAAGGCTCTCCTTATCTTTTATTAATTTTAGCAGTACACTGCAAATGAAAAAAAATTCTGAAGAAGTCCAAATACATGTTTCAGTGGCAGAAACAATACACCGTTTGAAATAAAGGAAGCAGTCTGGACTTATTTCCACACTTTAAAGGGCATGAGTTTCCCCAAAGAATCCTAGGAACTGTAATTTGCTGAGGGTGCTGGGAATTGTAGCTATGTGAGGGGTGAACTACAGTTCCCATGATTCTTTGGGGGAAGCCATGTGTGGGTGTGACCTTGATCTCAACCCTCTTATGAGGTTGAACAAGGGTGCTTAAATTGCCTCCATTGACTGCTGGGAGGTTTGCAACATTTGTGGTCATTTATATTTAGCTATATGAGGTGACTTCACCTCTCACTTTCATGTTTCAAGTGTCTCCCTACATCAAGGGAATCTTTTCAGCCAGAGGACCACATTCCCTTCTGGGGGTCACATGGGGCAAGAAGCAAATATGGGCACAGCAACAAAAGTCAATTTTATCTTTGTACATATGGCAAGGGTGGCCTCTTTAAGAGACATCTCTGAACTGCAGTTGAAGCTCTGCTCCATTATCTGGGTGTGCTTCCCTCCATAGCTCAGTGGGAACCAGGTGGAGTCCTAGTCTTCCCTTTGTAGGAAGTCATCTGCTGAGTTGCTGAGCTTCTGCTTGCCAATAAATACAGCTATGGACATTTTCCCAATCCCTGCTGCTTAAGATGGATTTCTCATTTGCATTTAGTTCATGAGATGATAAATTTACTATCAAATCCATCTTCTTGAATACGAGGGAGTTGCATCAGCCTCTGCATCATCCTGACCATCTTAACATTGGGCAATGCTCCAAAAAAGTGTTGCTCCTATCTTTATTGCATTCCTCTCCCTCTCTCTGAGATAGCCGAAGAATCTCCATATTTGTTGCTGCTCCCAGGGTCTGAAGAAAAACTATGAGATTCTTGGAATGTAACTACCTTTTCGGTAGGATCCTTTTGATTCAACCAGGGATATGCTTTCTCTATTTTTATAATCCCATTCATCGCATTTAAAACTTCTTAATCTTGACAGCTTTTAAGTCCTTTATGTATACATTCAATTCCTTCTGCGTACCTTCTCGCCATCGTGCTTTATCTTGTGATATGTTATTAGCCCTGTTTCACAATCCTGAACAGCTTTTATTTACCTTCTGTATTTCCATGTTAGAACGTTCAGATAGTAGTAATATTAAGTCCATAGAGCATTTGTTCAAAATAGATGCCCATTTTAAAAAATAAATCCATGTCCTGGTTAAATAAACCTGGATTTTTTTTTAATCCTCAATCCCCTAGGGATCCTCAATGATTTACAGAATAGATTTACAGATTTGGGAGAATTGTAGCATGTATATATCTTTTAGCATCTGCTCTTTTTCCTTTAACTTTCCCCAACTTTGCCAATCTGTATTATTTCCACAATTTGTTATGTGTTGCCCTGTGAGAATGATATTTGAGTGGATTATTCCATAAACCTGGGTAACTGCATCTGTTGTGTCTAATTATTGTGTGTGTGCACAAATTGTACTTACTGCTAATGATCTATCAACAAAAAAGCAGCAGTGCAGGCAAAGGAATTCTGTTGGCCAGTAATGTACAGAAAGGGATACAGTTTCTCAGGAGTGTGGTGTTATCACTCTTCCCAAGAACACTAGATTAAATGGATGAGATTGAAAATGACTAATTAGTTGAAACAGACTATCATCTGGCGTTCGGTCTTCTGATAAGACTTCTGTAAGACCTGCTTGGCAGTGGAACAGTCTCCCTCGGGAAGTGGTGGATTCTCCTACCTTGGAGGTTTTTAAGGAGAGGTTGGATAGTAAGGAATGCTGAGATTCCTGCATTGCAGGGGTTGGACTAGATGGCCTTTGGGGGGTCCCTTCCCACTCTACAATTCCATGATTGTATGATATATTACACTCTGTTGCTTAATTGTAACTGTGTGTGTGTGTGTGTGTGTTCTTAGCTTTCAATGAAGGACTGTTTTCATATTTTAGATCTGTTGTTGTTTATGCACTCTTGAAGATTCAGGCCTGTCCCAAGAACATCTGGAGCCAAGCCAGGTCATCTGAATTGGTTGCCTAGAAATGGAGCCAGGGTATGATTGGGATGAAAACACTGCCTCTTTCCACATCCATCACTTTAACTATAATAATAATAATAATAATTTTATTATTTGTACCTCGCCCATCTGACTGGGTTGCCCCAGCCACTCTGGGTGGCTTCCAGCAAATCTAAAAGCATGATAAAACATCAAACATTAAAAGGCTACCAATGTGGGGACTTTATTTCCTAAAGCAAGTTCTTTTTCTTCTGTATCTGTTGTGATCTATATTTTACTCCAGATTTATCTTCTTTAGATTTTGTTATCTGTTTTGAGAAGCTCCTTGGAGACAAAGGTGGAATATAAATCCAATAAATAAATAAATAAATACCTCCTGAAACAGCCATCCAGATAGGAATGGAACAACTAAAACAGAGTGCCGGTGATTCCCACTTCACAGACAGCCTCAGTAGAAAAAGTATCACAGTTGATGGTCTTGAAAATACTATTTGGTCCACGTAGATTGCTGGACTCCTCCAGTTCTCCACCCAGCATAGGTCAGGCTGACCAAAGTTGTTGTCAATCCAAGCAAGACCTGAGGACTGCCAAATTTCTGTTTTTATTTGATTGATTGATTGATTGATTGACTGTTTGTACATTATGACATATGAATACTCTGAATGAATTGTACCTGGAAGCAAACTAGGAGCCAGTGCAGCTGCTGTGATGTGTCCCTCCTAATCCCTGATCCCAGTTAACAGCCTAACAACTATATTTTCATTCCACTGAAGTTTCTGGACAGTCTTCAAAGATAGTCCCAAGTTTAAGATATTACAGCAGTCTAGCCAGGAGGTTAGCACGGCATGGACCACCGCAGCCAGTCTCTCTTTGTTCAGAAGGGGTTGCAGTTGGCATGCCAGCTTCAGCTGGTAGAAAGAGAAGCAATGCCAGTCTTGAAGGGGTCCTGGGGGAAATACCTTCCAAGGTCCCCCTCCCTCCCTCTCCTTCAGGTCACTCATTTTCATCTTTCACTCTTCTCCTTGGCTCCTTCCTACTTGTTGCCTGGTAACTGGGTGGGAGAGAGAATTCCATTCCCTACCTAGCATCTGGTAGGCAGCAGGTAATGCAGCAGGGGGATTAACAGGCCCCTTCT